ACACAGACCAGGATAAACACAGATCAGAATAGCCACAGACAAGGATAAACACAGACTAGGATCCAGGATAAACACAGACCAGGATTCAGGATAAACACAGACCAGGATAACTACAGACAAGGATAAACAGACCAGGATAACCACAGACCAGGATAACCAAGGACCAGGATAACTACAGACAAGGATAATCACAGACTAGGATAACCACAGACAAGGATAAACACAGACCAGGATAAACACAGATCAGAATAGCCACAGACAAGGATAAACACAGACCAGGATCCAGGATAAACACAGACCAGGATAACTACAGACAAGGATAAACACAGACCAGGATAACCACAGACCAGGATAACCACAGACCAGGATAACTACAGACAAGGATAATCACAGACCAGGATAACCATAGACCAGGATAAAGGCAGGATAAACTGCGGTACTCTGACCCATATCGGTACTACACGACATTGAAAACGGTAAGTAAACGACGACGTTTTGACCCATTCAGGACTATTATCAGGTGGCGAACAAGGGGCGAAATGTCGCCTAGATCCAGTGTGCAAGCGTGTTTGTTGGGAATTGTTGCAATCATGGTAGCCTGGTTGATCAGACTCTGATCCACCAGGAGGCCTGGTCACAGACCGGGCCGCGGGGGCGTTGACCCCCGGAACTCTCTCCAGGTAAACTCCAGGTGACTCCAGTTTTCACTCTGGGTAACTATCATGCCAAAACATATAAGTCAGTAAATCACAAGTTAAAATGAATTCCGTGTAGAGAAAACAAAAATGTAGAATAAGGCACTGGACAGGCACCTTAAGTCAGTACCTGACTAACCGGGCTGTGGTTCATACGTCAGCTTGCGTGCGGCCAACAGTAACAGACCTCGATCCACCATGAGGCCTGGTCTCAGACCGAGCCGCTGGGGCGTTGACCCAAGAAACCCTCTCCAGGTAAACTCCAGGTAAGGAAACGTAGAATAAGAAACTGTAGACTAAGAAAATTTATAATAAGGAAAATAAAGCTGAAGTTTAAAGAAAACATGGTCTTATTTGGCTACCTGATTCCTGATAAGAAATGTGTGAGTCTCTCTCGGCCTTTCTCTCTCCCGTAGATGCGCCGCCTTGAGGAGCGACGGGCCTCAGAGTGCGCCAGGAAAGCGGCACAGGAGACGGCGCTGAAGCTGAAGGAAGAAGCCGAAGAACGCAAGAGGCAGCACCTCATCCAGCTGTGGGAGCAGCAGCAGCAGCTGGTGGAGCAGAGGAGGAGGGAGAGAGAGGAGTTCTTCAGGAAGGTTAGTGTGTGTCTGTCTCTCTCTATCTCTTTCTCTCTCGCAAGACTAAACTTCCTCTCAGTTCATGGAAACTTATACCTACTAAGCAAGCCCTACTTTCATTATTATTTATTATTATTATTATTATTATTATTATTATTATTATTATTATTATTATTATTATTATTATTATTATTATTATTATTATATATTAATAATGATGATTAGTAGTATTATATAATAATATTACTAATTATTATTATTATTATTATTATTATTATTATTATTATTATTATTATTATTTTACCTCAAAGGCCGTCTCCCGCCAAGGTGAAATGACCCAAAGAAAAAATAACCACATTTACCATCATTCATTCAATCGCTATCTTTCCAGAAGTGTGCCGACATCACATTTCTGATTACCCTCCGACTGCAACCTCCTCACCCATTCTTCAGTGTACAGACACTGCCCTTCCCACCGATTTCCATGAATCCTTTCATCAAAGTCACGCTGCTTCTCTCCTGTCTAACACGCTCACACAAGCATGCTGGATGCTCAAGCCCCCAAAACTCAAAGCCTCTTGAACTTCCTCCAGCTATTCCTAGGACGATGCCTCCACCTTTTGTCTTCCACCCCATATTTATATATTCTCTTCGTCAATCTACCTTCAGTCTTCTCTACCTGCCTAAACCACCTCAACAACCCCTACTCTGCTCTTTCTGTTATACCCTGAATTACTCTCATCACTTCTTAATTTCTTGTCTCAAAGTTTCCTGTATGATATTCACTCCACACATTGCTCTCCAACACGACATCTCCACTACCTCTAGCCTCCTCTACAACAGAACATACCCCACATCCAGACAAAAATGTTGGTCCCATTATATTCCGGTACATTCCCTTTTTTGCCTCCATAGAAAACTTTCTTTCCGCAGATGCATCAATATACCACCTACCTTTTCTCCCCTTCATCTATTTTATAGTTTACATCGTCTTTTATAGACACATTTGCTAATTTATTCACTCCCAAATATCTAAATATATCAGCTTCATAATCCTTTCCGCCAATCTGATACTCAGCCTGCAGATCATTGCCTACACCTTTTCTTTTGTCACCTTCATCAATGTTGCGTTGTGTCAGCGTGTGGAGGAGGGTAACTGGGTGGAGGCGGAGCAGCAGGAGGCCAGGAGGAAGCAGGTGGAGGCCCGGGGTGAGGCGCTGCTGGAGGCCATGAAGATCAACATGGAAGAGAGGCTAGCCAGAGCGCACAAGAACCTCCAGATGCTTAATGACATGAAGGAGGACACCATCAGGAGGCATAGGTACGGCGGGAGTAGATGAAAGAGAGATTGGTGGAAGGGAGGAATGGAGGGAGGAGGAGGAGGTAAAGAAAAGAGAAGAACACTACAGGCCTAAAACTTGGGTTTTCTTATGAATGACATGTGTGATTTACTTTCAGAAAAGTTTTCAGATTTAAATTAAATACGATCGGAACAATGATCTTGTTACATGAAATAAATGCTTAATTTTTTAAGGATGTCTATTCAACCTACTGCTACCCTCTGCTTAACGTACGTAAGTGAGTGTTTATTTTCTTTAACTTAATTAATCTTGATTTTTAACGCCCAGCTAAAAGAGAAGTTTATAGGTAAAACAGCAGAACTGCAGAGGACCAAGGAGGATGTAGGATGGATAGGAGACGTGTACGCTTAGCATTTACATTGAAACATGTTAGTGAATAAAACTTGGATGAGGAGTAAGGAACTGTTTTCACGTATATAAAATTATAGACATGTGATTCAGTGGATTAAGGAAGAGTGTGACAGATGTTGCTAATGATGTAATAGGTAGTGCGTTATTAAAATCAGTAACGAGTTTTTTTGAGAGTGAAGCTCAGATTATAGTATGTAGGAGAGAAGGGGGGCCATTTTCCAGTAAACGTAGGCCTTAGGCTGGTATGTGATGTCACCATGGTTGTTTAATATATAAGTGGGGCTATAGAAGAAGTAAATGCTTGAGGGTGTTTGTGAGATTTTCTCTTTGCCGATAAAATTTCTTTTGGGAGATTCTGAAGAGAATTTGCAAAGGTTGGTGAAGGAGTTTGGGAGAGTATGTAAAAGAAAGAAATGAAAAATGAACACAGGAAAGGGCATGGAGAGGAGTAATAATATATTTAGGAAATGAAAAATTGGATATCGATGGGAAGGAGGGAGTATGGGGGAAGTGAATGTAATTAGATATTCGGGAGTGATCGTGTCGGCAGATTGGTCAATAAAAGACGAGGTAAACCATAAAATATATGAAGGGGAAAATGTAGGTTGAGTGTTAAAGAGTCTGTAGAGAAAAAAAGATGTTTATCTGTGGAGTAAAATAATGTTCCAAAGTATAGAGGTGAAAAGCCTTGTGGTGTGAGGTATGGACTTTTAACATTGCAGTGAAGAGAAGGCTGGAGACAGTGGAAATGTCATATTTAAGAACTATTTGTTGTGTGAATATTATGCAAAGAATTTTGAGCTTACAAATTAGGAGATAAGGTAGAGTTAGGAAAAGTGTTTTTCACTGGGCAAAGGAGGGGTTGAGGTGGTTTAGGCATTTAGGGAGGCTGAAGCAGAACAGGATGACGAAGAAAGTATATAAACCAGGGGTGAAAGGAAGGATATGAATCATCTCAAGAAGGTTTGGAGGGAGGGTGTGCAGGAGGTTGTAATGGGTTGGGACCTGAGCATCAGCAGGGTTGCGCGTCTGTGTTATATCGGGTGAGTGAAGATAAACAGTTTTAGGGATATGATGTGCTGTTGGAGTGTGATCAAGGGATTCAGGGAAACCGGTTAGCCAGACCTGAGTCCTGTATGTGGGAAGCATAGTGCCTGCACTCTGGAGAAGGATTGAGGATGTTGCAATTCAGAGGGTTATTTGAATTGCGAATTCTGGCAAGGCAGCTGTTGCTTGAATGATGATGAATGTTTCCATTTTTGGGTCACCCAACCATGGTGGGAGACAGTCAGTGTGGTAAACAGGAAGATGAACCGGCAAGACTTTACCTGTGTCTTTTTTTACACAAAATGCTGATGATATATTGTAACTGAAATTAATTATGGGGAAGCACTAAGATGCTAGCTATCATTTTGTACTAAAATTTAAATATCTGGTGGAAATAAGAATAAAGGAAAATTGGAAGTAACATTGAAAAGTCATCACGGTCTATGTAATGAGTTCTCTAACTAATTTGTAAGGTACTGCAAGTTAGTGTTGTTGTTGTTGTTGCAGGGACGAGCGAGAGCGACGGTCGAGGGCAGTGCGAGCCCTCCATCACCAGCTGGAGGCTGCCATGATGCAGTGGAGGCAGCATGTACTCCGCCGCCAGCTGGACTCCATGGCAGCGGCTGAGGCGCGCCAAGAGCTTTATCTCAACACTAGAGCCTCACGCATACAAGCTGACCGCACTTCCCGCTCACACCACCAGCAGCAACTTCTACAACAGTACCTCCTCGCCTCTCTTGTTCACTTTGTTCTATACTCACTGGAAAGACACCCTAAAGGGTCATACAGCGCCTGAGGAATGGGAAGGAATCAGGTTTGATCCAAAGAAAGGAAGAGTAACGTCAATTCCTTGGATCAAGAGCTCTTTACCAGTATCAAGGAAATCCTTTTCCTTACGTCCCTTGAATGGTCACCTTAATTAAGATTAAATGGAAAATAAAGTATACGTATTACATACACAAGTTTAGTTTCGGTAACAGAGAAAACGTTGGCTGAAGGTTTACCTTAGCTGCAGCTAAAGTAAACCTGACAGAACTGACAGACAGACGAATTAGACACATGTGCAACAATTAAATATCTTTATTATCAACTTGTCAGTACTGCATGGCACTTATAATTACCTCTGTCTCTCTCTCACACACACAGAGTAATGGCACGGGAGGAGGCCGAGCTGCAGATAGCCAAGAAGAATCTGGAGGCTAAGGACTTGCGCTCGCTGGGGGTATCACGGGAGAGGGAACGACAGGTCTGTAGGGCTCGAACCACGGCCCTCACTACGGCAGCTCTCAGGGAGAACCTCAGGTATGAGAGACTCTTACTAGCCCACACCACTAATGAAGAAAAGACATGTAGAACAAGCATTTTATTGTGGTAACATTCCACTCAGTGCACAAATTTATCAACATTTTTTATATTCATCTCATTAGCCTTCATATTGCTTAAATATTTATTTAATTTCAGTATCCCCTTTCTCTCTTTTTTACTTCCTCTTTTTATTTACCCGTTACCTGAGATTTCTCCATTTAAGGTAAGAGCATCATAATAGAAGAGCACTACAACAGGCCTACAGGCCCATGTTAGGCGGGCCAGTCTCTAATCCATCCCCTCTCACTCAAATCCAGATCAACTTTTGCCGATTGTCAACGTTTTATTAATGTTTTGAAGCATCTTTTTTGAATACATTTATAAACCACATTCATCCTTAATATTTTTAATAATACTTGGTACGAGTAATACTATTATTACTATTCTGTTGTACTTACATTGGCGATGCATTATTTTTACTGTGTCAACTTTCAGGAAAAAATTGTCGCCGGAGACGTTTGATAAAGTGGTGGCGCGCGCCAATTTGGAACTTCGCATTGAGAATCGACCACCAGCCACTTCCTCCATAGGCAGCCGTTCTCATATTTTTCTAGGTTGAGCCCCTCACTGCACCTGTGTCCCCATTTTCTCTCAACAGTTGTGAAAAGCTTTTGCTTCTGCTTCCTTAGTAAGGCCTGTTGTAGGCAAATACATCACGGTTGAAATCGTAAGATAGTAGGTCCGCCGGTACTGTCCCGGCCCGGGTTGGAAATCGTATAATCAATAACTCAAGTTCAGAAAAAAATATGGTAGAACCGAAGACAAAGCATTTTTTCTTTACTACAAAGAACCTTTTCGTACAATCCACGGTAGATTTCAATAATGCACTGCAACTGTATATCCTGTATGTGATAATATAAGATGTACACAAGATAAATGAAAGACATACCCTACCCTATAGTGTGAATAAGTCAACAACTGGTGTCCACTTTCCGAGAAACTAAGTCCAGAAAACAGAGCAGAAACAAAGTTCCCACAAAAGCAGACCAGAGTCTGACTCGCACATGACCTAGATTATGTCTATACATAATAACATGAAATGTTGTGTAAAGTATGTGCTTGCGTTTATGGATACCCTGAATGAAAGTCCAGTAGCGACCCGTTCTCTCGGGTAAGCCAACACTGGAGTTAAATATAACGAAGTCTACATTGGGCATATAATTTACACAGCCAAAGCTCCGGGAAACAATGTCCCAAAATGATATGCCTGACAGAAGTTCAAAACCTCCACACGTCCCCCACAGGACTTCGTCGACAAAAAAAACAACCTCCGAGACAGTCCTCAGTGACAGCGTGTAAGAGATGTTTTCGTATATGGTTGTTTTTAATGAACTTGAGTTCATAGCTCTCTTGCAGCTTGATCAGCAAGACTAGACTGAATCAAAATCAAGTGTGTGATGGGGTACCGGCCAACACCAGGCGGAAAACCAAGACACTAACCTCCAATTAGATGGGGCAGCTTTCACCATGCCTCTCCTCAGAACACTGCAATTGTTAACATTAACATTAATATATACAGTACATATATATATAGTAATGACACAGGTCACTTGCATTAAATTATAACATAACATTAGACAAACATCAGTAATGTGCATATATACGTTAAAACAACCATGTTTTCATGTGTTTTGTTCTGCCTTCATCATATGTCCAACCTTATGTGGTTTTTACACTTTTAGTTTTATTGATTTTACTTAATCTTAGATGGATGATCTCTCACTTAATCCTGCTATGGAAATCCATTCATTAGCATATTTTCTCCCGTATACAATAAATGCAATAGTTTAGAAAGGCACGTAAGCAAACACCATGAGTCCATGACATATTTATTAAAAAACGTTTCGGTCCTGGGACCCTGATCACTTCTAACATACAGAAATAGAAAGACATTTTATATAGGTGGAGAGTGAGGTGTGAGTGACGCAGGTGACCTGACATGGTGACTCACACCTCACTCTCCACCTATATATAATGTCTGTCTACCTCTGCATGATCAAGGTCCCAGGACCGAAACGTTTTTTAATAAATGTGTCATAGTGTTTGCTTACGTGTCTTTCTAAACCAACTTTTTATTAAGTTCACCGGATTGTAAAAGGCTCCAGAAGAAAACCCTTATTATCAATAAATTTGCAAATAGTTCTTTAGTTCTTTACTACTGTAATTTGTTTAGCTAACGTAGACGTCGGAGTTTAGTCTGTATAATAAAGCGATGAAATACAGCATTGTATATCACAGGTGAATAATAATATATACTTGTTTGTACGACTCGGGTCATTATATTTTCAGTATTAATAATAATAATAATAATAATAATAATAATAATAATATATCTTTCTTTACTACAAGTACATGCACAAGGTATATAGTCCTAGCTGACATCAATGACATACTACTATACAGAAAGCCACTTGTTATACAGATCATTTCGGGCAAATTAGGTCAGTTTTGTCCCAGGATGCGACCTACACCAAATCGACTTTACACCCAGGTACCCATTTTAAATTGATGAGTGAATAGGTACAGGGACAGTTATGGAAACACGTCCCTAATGTTTCCCAGCCGTACCGGAGTAGATTCGAACCCCGGACCTAAGTGTGTGAGCCGAGTGCACTAGCGATCGAGCTACGGGACACCTCTATTGTGATTATCGTGTGTATTATGATTATTTGTATTTTTTTTCATTATGTGAAAATAATGGAAACTAAGGTGTTTGGCTCTAAATATCAGGATGATATGTGAATTGCTGGACGTATGGTGAACAATTTTAGTCAGCTTAATTTTTTTGCGTAATTGGGCTTATCATCATCATTTAAAAAAAAAAAAAGCTAAAACAAACCCTTGTTTGGTTGAGAGTGATCTGCACTTCAGATATGAGAGAGATGAGAAAAAAGTTTAATATTTATTATGTAAGAATTTACATTTGTTTCATAAAACGAGGAAAATGTTTATATAAATATTAGACTACTTATGACTGAAGATAATATTCCAAAGTTAAGAAAATAAACTTAAAATTATACATTGGTATTTTTCTTCTCCTGGTCCATTAGTGAACATATTTATTTGTTCTCGATTTTTGTAGATTTTGGGCCTCTGAGCGAATTTACTGGGAATGTCTCTCATTCCTCTCTTATTAAGATTTATATATATGTGAAATAGGTGATTTCTCTGATCAGTGACAAATTATGAATTTAAAAAAAAAGATATTGACCCCAATGGAAATAAGTCACCTTTATTATTTTTTTTTTTGGGGGGGGGGGGGTTATCCTAGGTAATTTACAAATATTACTTTGTACGATAATTTTAGTCACTTAAATTTATGTAAATATGTAAGTTTATTCGGGTATAAGTCACACAAATACAGTTAAATAAATTTTCATGTTGTAGATTACCTAGGATAACTCGAGAAAGTCAAAGTGACTTATTTCCATTGGTGTCCTTGTAACTGTAATTATGTGTACCTGTACCTAAACAAACTTACTGACCTAAAACACCAATTACACAGCACATAGTTCCCAGGTAATATCACAAATAGTGTTTCAGGATCCCGTATTGACAATGTTTCGCCCACACGGTGGGCTAAACGCATTATACAATTACATCATCATAACCCTCCCGCAAAATGACTCCAGGATGGTTAATAAGCCAAGCAGTGTGAATTATTTCCACCATGGTCCTTAGATCATCTTCCCGAGGATATGACTCACAATAGTCAACTATCTCCCAGATATCCATTTACTGTTAGAAGAATGGTCAACAGGTGTTAGTAGACCTGTTGAAAATGGTATAAAATACTGAAACGTTGAAGAGTAGGACACATGTGCAACAGCTGGGCATCTTTATTGTTGATAGATGATGTAATCCCTGAAGAAATGTTGAAACTGATTAATTTTATGAACCAAAATATTGATGAGAGTGATTGCCTCTTCACCGAGTATGAATCAGATAATGCATTAACTAAAGGTCGATCAACTGCTCCTGGAGAGGATGGTATAACCTATGATATTCTCAGAACTCTAAGGCACGTGCCTGATAACCCTTTGTTGGCATTGTATAATACCAATTATACTGACGGAGTTCTTTCTACTTCCTGGACCAATAGTCTCATTGTGCCTATCCCTAAGCCCCAACAGCCTGATACATTTAGACCGATCTCCTTAACTAGTTGTCTTTGTAAAACCTTTGAAAGAAAGATACTTAACAGAGTGTACTTCAGAATCAGACACCAATTTTCCCCCTACCTCTATGTGTTCATGAAAGGTAATGCTACATAATCCTACGGGTTTAGTGCTCCCCCTTGATTATAATAATAATCATGAAAGGTAAAAGTGTGCACAACTGTATTTCCCCTTTTCACTGCCACCCCTTACGGGTTTTCCCACTTTTTTGATCAAAAAATCTCATTTGATATTGCGAACAAAAACCGTTATACTACTGAAGTCCCAAAAAATTAATTGGTGGTAGCTTACCCCGCTATAATAGGTACTGTAAATGGTATCCTCTGTCCTTTATCAAGGTTTTAGAAGGGGTTAAAGAAATGCTTTAGGTACCCGCAGGGAGGAGTTTCAGCCCCTGCTTTTTAATGTTCGTTTAATGCTCTCCTAAATGCTCTACCTGCCTCACTAAAAACATATGCTAAAGCTATGCTGAGACATCATGATCATACAACAGGGCATAAGAAGAGACCCATTTTTTAATGAAGTTCAAGCAATTTGTAATCGATAAGCCTCAAATATTTTCCCTCTAAAAAAAAAAGACATCCCCCCCCATCTTTTTTGCGGGGGTGAAATCATTAGCTATTTTTAAAAAATCAAAAAATTCTTGGTGTAGATGTACCTTTAAACAAACCCACTATAGTTATTTTGGGTTTATAGGGTTTATTTTTGCCCCCATACCCATCTGTGGGGGTTAAAGATTCGAGGTACAAAATTTGGCCCCGGGCCCGGACCCAAAGTTTTGATGGAAAAAGTTACAGAGGTAAGAATTCAAAATTTTACAAAGGTAATGAACTACAATTTCAAAGGTAATGAACCCAGGTAGATCTGGGGCCCCAACATGAAAAGTTAAAAAGGTATTTACAGATTAAAAGGGTAGAAATGGGTCCGGGGGAGGGGGCCCAAAGTTTTGATGGCTTGAATTTGGTACAAGGTTAATGAACTCACAAGTTCAAGGAATGAATACTGTAAAAAATGGTTATTTAAGTTTATACATGGTACAATCAGACAAATTATTTTTGTAACAAATTTTGGTAGAATTACCGCAATTGAAAAGAAAAAGGACAAAGTGAACTAATGTGACATTTTTTTGGGCAACGTTGTTCCAGGAGCTTTATCAAGCCTTGAAAAGGCTTGTTAAACTCCTGGGAGAGAAACGTTGCCACAATAAATTTTAATTAGTTGCACTTGTGTCCTTTTACTTTACAAATTTTTGTGTAATGGCAATTACACTTCCCCCCCGGTCACAACTGTAATGATTTAGGGCAAAATTGGTGTTGGTTAACACACACCACACACACACACACACAAAACACACACACACCACACACACCACCCAAACAACGAAGTTTGGACTCGACCCCTGCAAATCAACTAGGTGAGTGCACACACATACACACACCACAAAACCAACACAAAACACAAACCACACCCCAAACACCACACACACACAAAACCACACACACCACACACACACCACACACACACACACACACACAACATCAAACTACATGCAACATGTGGTAATCTTTTTTTTACAGCTAAAAAAGTCAGGGTATTTTCCGAATGGTCTAAAAATTCCCATGTGGATAAAAATACTTTGCCATTTCTTGAACTTTTTCTGAGTATTTTTTTAAAATTTCATTAATTTTATCCCCCCAGAAACATAAATGACGCAAGGTGTGAAAATAGTCCATCTGGCAAATTTTCACTTTCGTTTGGTTACATTGGGGGGGGTGATTTAACCTGAAAAGATACTTGTAACCCCAGCCGGACCCCGGGCGTAGTGCACCCAAGATTTTCTGCTTATTTTGTTGGATGCACCTAGACATGTGGCTCCCCCCTGCTGTAGAATGATGATAGTTGGGACTCACTTGTGTCAATCTCCCTGGCCTTAAGTCCATAAAATTCATTTTAAAGTTCTTTTCGTATTATTGTTTAAACTACTACCTACAACCCAAAGATTTTTAATCTATCCTTTTTAAAAGCATACAGCTTAGCCAATTTTCAGTTTATCATGCATTGAAGCCCAATGTGAGAGGGAAATCCACAGCTGTGCACTCTGACCCCACTGCCCACAATCCTCCCAACCTGTGTCTGGTTCTGACACAAGCATGCCAAATTTTTGCTTAATGGTTAGAGGGATTTTGGATGACAGAGAATCAGTTACAATTAAACTGTCAATCTTTGATACATAGATGCATTTCAGTGCAAGGAGTTGGCAAACAGTTTTTGAAGGGTAGAGGCCAATTATTATGGGTGTCCAATTTTTTAAGGAGCCCTCACTCTGTCGACAACAGCAGCCCTACCAGTGCACCAGTGGGTTGGGTGAAAGAACCATCAGGTAAATAATTTGCGAGGTGTGTGCTGTGTGACTAAGTTTTCAATACAGCTTAAGGGGGCCCCAAGTTTGGCTTCAAAAGGGGAAAAATTTTGGTTGTGATTTAAAAATAGTTTGGGGGGAAATGGAGGGAATGGTGTTTTTAATGGGGTTAAATATTCCTTGGGGCGGAGAAATGCCTTTTTGCCTTATTGAATAGTTATGTATCTGATTTTGCGGAGGTCGGTTCCCGTTTTTTTTGATCCATCGGGAGGGTGTTCACCAGTGCTGGGAAAGTTTGGAGGGCTTTGTGCAGGGGTTT